GCACAAAATAATTAGTATAATATATATATAATATATATAATAATTAGTATAATTTTAAAATAATATTTAAATAATGGCGCTAAAATTAAATGTATTGTCTGCAACATGGAGCGCTGTTAAAGCATTAAAAATTCTTCATACAAATGGACATCTATTAACCTTTTATTTCATTGAGTATATCTTGGTATATTTATAATAGATACCTAACCATACATTATAATCAAAATAAAAAAATATTTTTATTATTTATAAATATTAAATTAAAAAAATTATTTGTAATATTGTTAAATAAAAAACTAAATAGTAATGGGTAAAACTCGAAACGGAAAAGCAGCTGTTATTTGCACAGCAATTGCATTTATTTTAATTGTAATTGCATTCACCACACCCAATTGGCTTGAAACAGACGGAAAATTGGAAAATCCAAAGTTTATAAAAATTGGTAATTTAATTAAAAATATTTTCATATTATTTATGTTATTATTATGTTATTTCATATTATTTTCTATTTATATTATCTTATAATATAAATATGTAATAATGTTTTTTATTTTAGGTTTATGGCAAGTGTGCTTTAATGGATTTGAACATCCACATCACTTATATGATACTAAATTTTATGGTTGTTGGTGGGTGTTTGAAGAAGAATATTATATAATTCATGATATACTTTTGCCTAATTTTTTTGTTGCAACACAATTCTTTTTTACATTGTGTCTGACTTTATTATTAATAGGAGGTTTTTTAACCATATTATATACATGTTGCTCAAAGCACCATGATAAATATCAGTTATTACTATGGACAATTGGTGGAAACTTGGTATTAGGTGGAATATGTGGTATTATTGCAGTTATAATATTTGGTGCACGAGGTGATGGTAGAGATTGGATGCCTAATTGGGAACATAATGATATTAGCTGGTCTTATGCATTAGCTGTACTTGGTAGCTTTATTTTGGTTGTAGCAGGTATATTGTTCTTAATTGAAGGTCGTAGACACAGAAAGAAACAAGAAAGAATATTAAATGAAGAACAAAAAACACATACAACTATTTAAATAATATCTTTATCAAAGAATGCAAATGAATGATAAATTATTTATGATATTGAAAATCTATACAGTTTTTTGTAAGTTAAGATTATTTTATGTATCATTTACACATACTTTTTAAAGACTCTATATATTTTAATATTTAATGATTATTTTCAAAACATTATATAAAAAAATTCCTTTCAAACTTATAAATATATAATAACTTCTTGAGAAAAATAGATAATAATTGAAAAAATATTTTATATATTTTATAATGTTTCATATATAATATATATATTGTGCATTTATTATTTTATATAATAATTAATGATAATGAATCCGTCCATATAAATTGGAGATCTTATAAGAAAGTTAAGAGTTTGTAAATATAGTATTAATTATCTAATTTTAATTTTAATTGTATGACCTCAATATAAACAAATATTTTATACATTTGTTGGATTATTTTACATTGGAAATTGTATGAAAAGTTAAAAGAAATAAAATAACTTATTTAAAAAATTTTTTATTTCTTTTTTTATATTTATCTAATTTTTTTTTATAAAAACGTTTCTTTGTTATTTTTTTGTAGATATTTGATAAATAATTGTTTATCATTGAAATTTATAGAGAAAAATAATTATAAAGAATACACATGCTAAGATTGTGACCCATTTTACTATCGAGACAAATAATTCAACGTGAGTTATGACTAAGATTGCGTGCACGAAGATCGACATCAGGTATAAGTCGTTGACCTAGTTTAGTCTCTATTTTAATGAACAACTTTTATAATTTCACATACTATATTGATTATATCTGAAAAATGTGTTAATATCAATTTCGTATTATTTTATAATATTTAATAATATTTTAGTAAATCATATAAATTGTAATTCAATTAATAAATTAATGCATAATATAATAAAACATATCAATTTTAAAATCTTGATTAAAGATGATAAATATGAATCAATAAATATATAAATTTCTTATAAACTTATATCAGATTTTTTTGAAATTTTTTAGTATTTTCAAAATATATATTTGAAAATTATATATACTTATAAATACTTATTAAAAATTCGAAAAAGATGAATTAAATATAAAACTTATAATTAATATATTAAGTAATAGAAAGCATACATATTAATATTTTTATTCCATTTATAATTTAATAATAGAAAAATAAAAATAAAATATCAATTACATAATGTTATTACAATAGAAATTTAATGTTATTACAATAGAAAAAATAAAATCCCTCATAAATAATATTTCCCGTTTTAAAGATTCGCTAATCACTTAATATTCTTAATATTTTTTTAAGCATTTTTTTTATTAAATATTTCATTAATATAAAATATTTCTAATTTTAAATGCAATTTTATAAAATATATTGTTTAATGTATATTTATAAATGTTAAAATTATTATATGTTGAATATAAAATTGTTAAAAGTTAATTACTTATTATTTTTTAAGATAATAGTATATTTAATATTAAATCAATATATTAACATAAATATATTAACATTTTATAAACATTAATTTTTAATTTTAATTTTAAAGAATAATAGAATAAAAAAGTATATAAAGATTAAAGTTTGGATTTAATAATAAATACCTATTTCATCAAAATTATTTTATATATCAATGATATTATATTAAATATTTTAACTATAAATTAAGAATTCTTTCTTTATAACTGCTATGTTATAGTTTATAGTCGTGGGATAGTCATGATTTTACAAGGTTAGGTTAGATGGAAAGTTACATGGTCACAATTCAACGTAGCATGTTGGGTGTGGTTAATACCGTGAGATCTTTAAATCAGTAGATTTGAATTGTTTGTCATACGCATTGTGCTACATTGTGATTTTAGTATTCACAAAACAATTTTTTATCATGAAAAAAAGAAGTTTTTCCGGCAATATTGGTGTCGGTGTCTTTATCATTGCTTTTGTGTGTGTTTGCGTTGCATTTAGTACACCAGCATGGTTGGTGAGCGATTATCGTATTACTGGTGCGAAACTTGATAAATTAGGTCTTTGGACTCATTGCTTCAGATCACTTCCAAATCCTCAAGAAATGGACGCACCTAGACGCTTTTTCGTTGGTTGTAGATGGGTTTATGATCCCTTTACTGCAGGATATACCGATATTCTTGGTTTTCTTTTACCTCGTAAGTTTTCCTTTTTATTTTAATTATTTTAATTATATTTAATAAGTGAAATAATATACTATCATAATTAATTGTTAATTTTTTTTTTTGTTACAGCATTTATGATAGCAACACAGTTTTTCTTTACTTTATGCTTCCTGTTAAGTCTTATATCATTTTTATTGATATTATTATTTACTCTGTGCAGTGATCCAGAACAAAAATATTATGTACAACTTATTATGATAATTGGATATCTACTGCTTATTGGTGGTATAAGTGGTGGATTGGCAGTAATTATATTTGCTTGTTTTGGGAATACTGAAGGTTGGATGCCTGGACATGCTAATAATTTTTTTGGTTGGTCTTTTATAATGGCAGTTGTGGGTAGTGTATTGACTATCATAACAGGTGCACTTTTTCTTGTTGAAGCAAATATTCAACGTAAGAAAAGAGAATATTTAAAAGAATCTCAAACAAGATTTCAGCTTGAATCTCGTACATGATTTAAAATAAGATTTGCACAATATTTTAATACCAAAATTTTGTAATATTATTCCGTCCATATATTAGCTAATTTTTAATATTAGATTTTTTTATATTATTATTTTAGTACAAAGTATATTATAATATGATTATTAATAATAATAAGATTTGTATTTTTGTAAGTTTTATACATACATATTATGTAAAATTATAATTATACTAAATAGTATAGAAAAGAAAATCTTTATATATTAATTTTATTGTTTTTGTTATTTGTTAACATTTTTGAAATTTAAATACATAAAGTAAAATTAAATGAAAATATACTTAATTATTTTATCAAGGAATCTCAATTGTATGCAGTAAAAATTTTTTTTTATTATAAATAGGATATTGTTAAATATTGTATAAACTTCACAATGCAAATATCCACTGCCTATGGTAAATCTATATATAAAAAATTTATAATAAAAATTTGTAATTTATATATATAAAAATATTAACATATCAATATGTAATAATTTAATTATCCGTCCTCGAATGTATATTGAGAAAAAAATTATTTTCAATTAAGTACAACATATTTTTTGTAATATATGTATTTTTTAATAAATGAAATTAAATATTCAAAGTAATTATTATTTACACATATAATATAATTTCAATAATTTGTTTAATAGGTTATTTGTACAAATATATAAATATTTTGAACTTTTGATTATAGACAGACATCGTATAAGATATCGTACATATTGTTGGCAGGACTGAAACGATGAAAGGTGTGGCAAGTTTAGGATAAAGATTATTTTTGGACTTTATAAACAAAAGATTTATTGGCATATGCCAGTAATCTACAGTAATTAACAACAATAAACAATCGATATGTCTGTTAATAAGCAAGATTATCACCGTGCATCAAGTAAACAAAATTATTTTTTGTATTGTATTATTTAAAAAAACATTCATAACCTCTAATTAGTTATTCTTTTTTAGACGCGGTAGTATTTGGTGGAGTAATTATATATATTGCAGGATTATTGTTGGTTATGGCATTTACTAGGTAATTTTAATTTTTGATATTGATTCTTAAAAAAGTATTATTCTTAGTAATATTTTTTAAATATTTTAATTGAATATTTTTTATAATTTTTATTATTTTATGAATTTTTATTTGATTAATTAATCTAATTTTAGTCCATATTGGATTGAATCTTATGAAGAGACTTTTAGTAATTTTAAACATATGGGACTTTGGGAATATTGTTTTGAACAATTCAGATATCCATATTATCAATTTGATAAGCAATTTGATGGTTGTCATCATATATTCTCAGAAGAATATTATGTGATCAGAGAATGGTTATTACCAGGATGGTTAATGATTGTGCAAACATTTGTCACGCTTGCTTTATTATTTTCATTTTTTGCACAAGTTGTAATTGCATTGACTTTAGTTCGATGGCCTTTGAAATTTGTATTGAATTATGAATGGATTCTTTCAGCTAGTGCTTTCTCATGTTGTGCTATAGCAGGTAAATAGAAATTTTACGTCAATTATGAATAAAATTTATTTATTCAATTGGTCTTTAAATTTCAGGTACCGTATTATTTCTAGCAGTATCAATATTTGGTGGGCAATGTTGGCGCAGAGACTGGTTAATGTATCCAAATTTTAACCATTTGTCATGGTCATATGGTTTAGCAGTTATTTCATTTATGTTTCATTGGTTAGCTGCATTTTTTTTATATTTAGATGCAAAGGCTGGATATAGATTGCGCAAACAATCTAGTAATTTAGTGATGCAAATGCAGCCCAATTTACAAAGTCATCAAGGATTGGCAAGAGGAGGATATATATAATCCATTGTCATAACTGTTACATTAAAAAAGGATTTAGTCACAGAACAATTTTTAATAATATTAATAACAAGTTGATATTTAGTTGTATCTTTGTTATGTGACATTATTTTATACTTGAGATCTGCCTAATCTTAGCGATTAATTCCGTCCATTTTTTATAGTATTTTTATGAATGTATGTATTGAATATGTATATAAATTAAGAAAATTTCATATATTATAATAATCTAATAATCTTTACAATTTATTGAAATTAAAATATTACATATCCTTGTAATTATTTTTTATTATATAATTTTATATAGAAAATATGTTTATATTATAAAAGTATGTTTGATATAACATTCATTATATCAAATTTTATCATATGTTTTGAAATTATAATTTATACCATACAGGATTGAAATATTTTAATAAACAGATATATAGAGAAGAAAGATTTATATAAATATGACTTACCTGGAATTTTCGAATATGTTGCAAGCTCTAATAAGTATTGAATCGTATCTAAAGGTAGATTGCCATCAAGTACAATGATGCTCGAGTTCTCCACATATGATTGATATTTCTTCACTAGATTCGGGCTGATACTCGTAAACACTTCCATTTCACCGATTCCGAAACGACATTCACCTTTATAATCGATAATTGTAGTACATCTTGAATCATCAAGTACAAAAATATATATAAAAAAATAATTAAAAATTATATATAAAAATGAATGTTATCTTTATATATATATGATGTCAACGTTTCTTTAATGTATGAAAGAATGTATATATAAAAAAAGCAAAAGAATAACTTGTGAAATAGAAATCGGAGACAAGTTGTTTCGAGTGATATTCACGGAGTCAATTACGACATCAGATCAACTATTTGCTAGCGGATAAATTATTAATATTAATGATGAATGTTTACTGTCTTTGGATTCAATACTGCATAAGGACAATCTTATCCTTTTTTTTTGTTCTATCAAATTATAATGATTGAATTTAGTATAATTCGAGTATAAAAAAAATAAAATTATAATCAATGATTAAACAAATAATTAATCAGAAAATTATAAATAAATTATAAATAATTTTGTCAAAAAGATAAAAAAAAGAAACAATTATAA